TGGGAGTACTTTTAAATTACTTCAAATATGCCGACACCATTAGTATTGTTTCTACATGGAATGCTAAATAGGAGAACATTTTACATAAAGAATACTAATTAGGAGCCAATTTTATATAAATAATACCAATGAGCCTTTTGTCAGATATAAAGCCCATGCACGTGATATATTATCAATGATTTCATAGGTTTAAATGCTTATGAATTATTGAGTTTTTGAAGACTAATTAGTAATTCTTAACTTCTGTTAAAGATTAGCTGACAGGGAAGTTGACCTTTATTGGAGTATACTATAAATGCGTACATGCGACCTGCATTTTAAATATGATAAAACACTCTTGGTCGCCACTTTAAATACTACATAACTGATTTTTATCAAAGTTGAGAATACTAATAAGCTTTATTCTTTTGTTCATTTTTTAAATATGTTAAAATATTCGCGTCTGATTTGTATGGGCAATTACAAAGGATCGCCTTCGGCTCGCCATTGTAATTGCCCATACAAATCAGCCGCTCATATTTTAACTAGTACATAAAACACACCTTTATCAGTTGCATTTTTTGCAACTGCTCCCTGTTAGTCAATTACCACCTTAGGAAAATACAATTCTGTGTATTGTACACATTTATCCATAATATAAAAAAGCTGTGGTGCTGCATAGGCAATGTGAAGTATATAGCCATGCATTAGTTGAAATGTGGTGAACTGCCAATTGTGTTGAGGTAGCTGACGTTTCGAGCGAAAGCCCTTCATCAGAGAAGATGAAGGGCTTTCGCTCGAAACGTCAGCTACCTCAACACATTTGGCAGTTCACCACATTTCAACTAATGGCTATATCCATAATATAGATCATATTACCACCACATATATTATACTGTACTGAAGATGACATCTTGAAGGTTTTGAAACATGTTTACTATTTACTATTTTCTTTAAGTGTAAAGTAAAAGCTGTCGAGAATAGAGTGGTGCCTCGCTGACGACAGCAATAATAAGGAAAACATTACACAGTCGCTTGAGGGCACAGGAGGAATGAGGGTCTTCCCGAAATGCAACGCGCGAATCAGTGCTGCTCATTATTATATTCAAGCTATTTATTCTCAACGCGCCGTTCGATGAAAACTGTTGAAATATATTGCGATTTTTGCCGTGAAGATCTCGTTTTCTTAAAGGTATGTTTTGAGAACCTTTTTGTTTAGTAATTTAATAAAAGAAATTTTGAATAATTTTGTATATACCTCACATTTTACTTGTGTTAAATTCCCATTGTATTTATACATGTTTTGGGTGTTGGAAAAGTGGCATTGAAATATTCTGGAGTAAATTGTACTTTTTTACAAGGAAACTAAAATAAAATCACATCAGTGAATTCAGGAATGTTTAGTCTTTATATTGATACTTTAAAACATAAATTTACTCCATAAAACCGAAGAGTTATCGCAGTTTGAAAATGAGCTATTTTTGCTAATTATCGAATATAACAAAAATAGCTCATTTTCAAACCGTGATAACTCTTCGGTTTTATGGAGTAAATTCAAATTCGTCACGTTCAAAAACTAATGGTCAAAAGAAGTATTTGCAGACTAAACGCTTCAAAGACCTTCCTAAAGCAAGATGGAAGGGGAAGACATGTTGTGTTGGAATCAGAGCAGAGGAACTAAAGCGAAATTTGACTATACAAGATATTGCAGACCAGGAATATCAAACTACTAAGAAAAAGTGTTGCACCGTTATAGAGACAGAAATTATGACAACTACAACAAGAATAAAAACGTATATATATATATATATATATATATATATATAATCTACATTTGACATGGATTAGTATGTCTAAATCGATCGTCTACACTCCTCAATGTCGATAAATATTTTAGGAACTTTAAAGTCTCATACGTTAAATTTGACGTTCTTCGTTAAAATACAGTTTCGTAGGCTTAATGCGTAACTACTGAACAATTGATAACTCAACCTTCATACACAACAAGTATGTAAACTATATATCCAAAAGTCAAAAAAGTTTTTCAATGTGATTGAACTTGTTTCTTCGACCTTCTGTCACACTCAACAGTTTCGTTTTTTGAAAGGGAGTCCTGGAGAAAATCTGCCTGCCGTCTCCTCTTTTTTGGTTTTGTATGGGCGATTACCGATTACTTGGTATCGATACCACCCAATACCAGGCCCAAACGGGAAGTAGTCGATACTGCACGGTATCGAAAAAGTGTTTTCATCACTTTTAAAATTAGACATTCATTATAATTCTGAAGTTGTGTCATCGTTTTCATGGTTATTTCTAATAAAATTTATGTACTTTTTTTGTATTTTGCTACATTTATCAATTTAATCAAACTTTCCTTTCCTTTACTTTATTTGACATTCTATCCACTTCCCTTATTAATTGATTTCTGACCTCGCTGACAGAATAAATAATGAAAAGGCGGGAAATAAATTAATTTTTGTTTTTTTTATGGATTAGAATGGAGGATCAAATCGTTACTGTTAAAAATATGTAACTTTCTGTAAATATGTCGCTACGTATACTGTGACTTAATTACATTTGTTGTTTTGAAAATTGGAGGAAGTAATCGTTTGGGTAATCGATACCTCGATACTTTTACGAAAAAGTAATCGGTATCGTATTGAATCCGATACTGGTGGCATCGCCCATCACTATATGATCTGTTCAGAATGCAATGGTTCAGGACTTTCCAGACGCGTGGCCAGCACCGCCTGAGTGCAGGCTACAGCTTCAGCGAAATAGGAAACCCCCTGATCTAGGGTAACGCCTATACGCGGCGACATCATTAGAAAAAAATATCGACAACATGACTCCTCAGGAAAAAATCATGCAAAGGGAGAGCAACGAAAAAAAAATTTGTGCAAATTTGACTTTGCCTTCTTGCAGTTCTTGTTCTAGTTCGAAGTGTTTTCGACTCCAACTTTAATTAATGTTAAAAATTCCCACATCAGATTGCGTGAAATCGCATTTGCGGGATTCTAAATTTCAAAATTTTCTCCGGCGGAAGACTCCCGCACCGCCCGCTACAATCCATCTTGGTCAACCCTAGCCTCACCAGGGAAGAATCTTTCAGAAAGACTCTTTATCAAGCAGCACTGTATTCTGACAAAAATTGTTACTATGTTATTCTGAACAGGCATATGTGATTGCTATATATGATAACTATCCAAGTTTTAACTGGAAAAAATCCTGCAACGGCATGTCTCCCGGAAAAAATATCTTACACCCTGCCATTGGCCCCCAAAAATATCTGCCTTGAATAGATTTGGGGAAAAAATATGTGGAAAGACTAAATCTCCCAGGCATACTCTTTTAATTTTTGTGCACATGCGTATGCACCAGTATAAAACGCAGTAACCCAAAACACTTTAAAACACTCTAAATCTAATACTATCTAAAACTGCAAAGCAGCAATCGAAAACCCAATAAAGCAGCGTACAGCGGGGTAGAGCGCAGTACAAAACAGTTTAATTAAAGCAATTTAAACTAGAGTAAAGTAGTGTAATGCAGTGTAAAGTAGTATAAAGCAGTGTAAAGCACTGTAAATCACTGTACAGCAGCCTAAAGCACTGTAAAGCAGCGTAAAGCAGTGTAAGGCAGGGTAAACAACGTAAAGCACTGTAAAGCAGCGTAAAGCAGCGTAAAGTACTATACAGCACTGTAAAGCAGCGTAAAGCACTGTAAAGCAGTGTAGTGTAAAGCAGTGTAAAGCAGTGTAAAACACTGTAAAGCAGTGTAAAACACTGTAAAGCAGTGTAAAGCACTGTAAAGCAGTGTAAAGCACTGTAAAGCAGTGTAAAGCACTGTAAAGCAGTGTAAAGAACGGTAAAGCACTGTAAAGCACTGTAAAGCAGCGTAAACCAGTGTAAAGCACTGTAAAACACTGTAAAGCAGTGTAAAGCACTGTAAATCACTGTAAACCAGCCTAAAGCACCTGTAAAGCAGCGTAAAGCACTGTAAAGCACTGTAAAGGAACGATGCATGTCAACCTGAAACGTGGTCAATTTTGCATGTGTGTAAATTTTTTGGACGGGGGGTTGCGTGAGGTATTTTTCGGCCAGGGGGGCTACGCGAGTTTGAGAACACAATGAAAAAACGTGAAAGGACTGGACGGGTACTTTTGAGTCATCCCATTTAGCATTCACTTAGCATGCAGAGCAATGCCATTAAAATATGTAACATCATGTTAAAAAGTGGCAAGATGGCGTAAGCACTGAGGCTTTATATGCATACAATATTTCTGGAAACCAGGCAGCAGTACGCTATGTAATGGAAATGACACCAGCAGTGCCAGAAATGTGGCTTAGTCTTTCCTCTGTCAAATTATCCTGGTCTGCAAGTTGTACAAAGAGATACACAATACCTTTTCCTCCATATATAGATAAAGACAACATTTCTGAAAAATATTGAAATTGGTCAAAGGCAATGAACAATCTCTCATTGTTATCTGATCATGCTCCCGCTGCTATAAAACTGTACAAACAAGGTGGCACACTTGTTGGTTTAAAAACAGTTTCTTTTTTATAAAGGAATACATTTTCCAACACATTTTAATGCATGTTCCCCATCAAAGTATTTCAGATTTGAAACATCCTAACCATGAAAATGTACCAAATGACTTGCAGGTGGTATGCAGCAGCTACGCATCATCTGCCAGAGTTTTGGCAAAACACCGAAAATATTAATTTGTATTTACCTAGTAAAGAAGAGTATATAACAACCGCTTTGTCATACATTAATACATTGTCAGACGCCTTTTATATGTGGCAAACATGCATAATTCCACTAACATGGTTAAACTTTGATTTGCAAAATGAAACTACGACTATTTTGTTAGATACAAATCAGCTGTCTGTTCAAAACCTTGTATTGAGATCGGCCAAACAACACAAGGAACACTTTTCGTCCTTTGCACCAAGTGAATACCTTGACACCGATGCTAGTTTGTTTCAGGCTCGGACGCTGATGACGAATTTTCGCCAATGGATGCTTCTCATCCTTCTCCCGTCTTTCGTCGTTGTCATGGTTCTCTGCCAAATACATGGAGCAAACCGATTATAGTTACTGGTGGTGGTGGCTGTGGTAAGTCATACACTATTCGCTCAATTGTGAATGAGTATTTAAATACTTGAGTATTGAACATTTTGAAATACGATCTAAAAATTATAGACAAATTATCAATGATTCCTGAGACTATATTCCAACACATTTTGAAAACATTAAATCTACTTTTATTTAGACCTGTACTTGTGCTTTGTGGAGATTGCGCTCAAGAACAACCGTTTTCAAAACATAATGTAAGACTCATGCGACATCCAAGTCCATTTACTAATAAGCATTTTATTTCCACAACCTATCGATATAATTTACTGGGTCAACATCTCGTTGGTAACGCCCAGTATCTTAAGTTCTTAAATTATGTCAAGATGATATAGTTACAGATGAAGACATATTCCTTACCTGTGTGATGCGAAAACATCTTCCCTACCAATACCCTAACTGTGGTATCATCCTTCTTGGGGACTATAAACGACATAGAAATATGTCTCCTGTCAGCAAGACATAATTTAAAGCAAGTCGACAAAGCCCCCAAAACAGGTTCATCAATCCTCGACCTCATCACTACTCCTACCACCACTTGGATCCTTCGACCATAATATCTTACTATTGGCCCGCTCGTTACATAATTCTAGCCATTGTACTATAATATTCCGTAAAATTATTCTGTTATGCCTAAGATGGTTTACTGCAGATGATATTACAATTTTAAGACCATTCTATTTATTTTTGGAAGAACATGAGCACCACCAGCATGGTTATAAAGTCAAGTGTTGTCGTATAAAATTAAGACCATCACCACAGTCTGTAAATGACAAAATTAATAAGTTGACCGACCCAACTCAAAAAACTTGTTAATCACATTTTCTTCAATTACGTGGCAGCGTAATTCATGAGAACGAAAGTTTAAAAATATATTTAATTTTAAAGAAACAGAAAGAATTGAATGTGCCCTTTGGCCAAGTTTGTATCCACTTACGAAATGGTGTGAAAGTGCGATTTCCAATAACAATTGCAACCTAGCACGAAATTGTCATTCAACATCAAATTACATTCGCAAAATAATTGACTATGGTCTACACTTTGAGTTATTTCAGTATGACAGATGGCTGTTTAAAACTACAAGTGGAGCAATTAACACTACCCAGTTACTAAAATGCTCACCAACACAGTCTTTGAACATGAAATCCTTTTCAGCAACGTTTTGGCAATGGCAACATTGCTTTGTCTTAGACGCCGTAGATCAATATGGTCTCCCAGATGTATTTATAATATTAACCCATATGAATGGTCATTCCTGTTTCCGTCATGGATAGAAAGAATTAGACAGCAAACAGGAAAAGGACCAACTAAGTTAGCAGGTCACAAAACTTCTTACATTGTCAATATATTAATCCAAATTGTCAGAGGCTATTTATGCAGATCAAATAGCCAAAAATGGTCGAATCATGTTTTTAATTATAGTGGTAATGCTAAACAAAAAATATTAAGACCTTTTTTTATCGTTGCAAGTTTCAGGAAAGGGGAACCATACACCTTCATTTGCCTGTGTGGTTAAAGGATTTTAGCAAGATGCAACATTGTTTAATAAGCAGAGATTTTCCAAATGACAACCCTGATTTATGCTATCTTATAAAAAAATATAAGCTATCAGATAAACCTACCTGCTTCTTTTTTAAATCTGCAAGAAGCAGAAACATATTTTGAATATAAAAATAGCACTAGCATTTTACTTTGTAAACATTCAGCTGAGGCATTTGCTCTTAATTTAAAAGCTTACATTTCAACTGTTTTACCAATGTTAAAATGTTTGATGGACTTTCAAATTACCGATGGCAGAGCAATGCTATTAAAATATGTAACATGTTACGAAGTGGCAAGATGGCATAAGCACTGAAGTTTTATATGCATACAATATTTCTGGCAGCCAGGCAGCAGTATGCTATGTAACGGAAATTAAACCAGCAGAGCCGGAAATGTGGCTTAGTCTTTCCTCTATCAAATTATCCTGGTTGTGCAATTTTATAAAGAGATACACAATACCTTTTCCTGCATATATAGACAAAGAGAACATTTCTGAAAAATATTGAAATAGGCCAGAGGCAATGAACAATCTCTCATTGTTATCTTGGCTCTGCCAGGTCGATCATTCTCCAGCTGTTCCAAAACTGTACAAACAAGGTAGCACACTGGTTGGTTTAAAAACAGTCTCTTTTTTATAAAGGAATACATTTTCCGACACATTTTAATGCATGTTCCCCATCAAAGTATTTCAGACTTGAAACAGCCTAACCATGAAAATGTACCAAATGACTTGCAGGTGGTATGCAGCAGCTATGCATCATCTGCCAGAGTTTTGGGAAAACACCGAAAATATTAATTTGTATTTACCTAGTAAAGAAGAGTATATAACAACCGCTTTGTCATATATTAATACATTGTGAGACGCCTTTTATATGTGGCAAACATGCATAATTCCACTAACATGGTCAAACTTTGATTTGCAAAATGAAACTACGACTATTTTGTTAGATACAAATCAGCTGTCTGTTCAAAACCATGTATTGAGATCGGCCAGGCAACACAAGGAACACTTGACGACCTTTGCGCCAAGTGAATACCTTGACAATGACGCCGAGTTTGTTTCCGGTTTGGACGCTGATGATGAATTTTCGCCAATGGATGCTTCTTCTCCTGTCTTTCGTTGTTGTCATGGTTTTCCGCCAAATACATGGAGCAAACCGATTATAGTTACTGGTGGTGGTGGCTGTGGTAAGTCATACACTATTCGCTCAATTGTGAATGAGTGTTTAAATATTTGAGTATTGAACATTTTCAAATACGACCTAATAATTATAGACAAATTATCAATGATTCCTGAGACTATATTCCAACACATTTTGAAAACATTAAATCTACTTTTATTTAGACCTGTACTTGTGCTTTGTGGAGATTGCGCTCAACAACAACCGTTTTCAAAACATAATGTAAGAATCATGCGACTTCCAAGTCCATTTACTAATAAGCATTTTATTTCCACAACCTATCGATATAATTTACTGGATCAACATCTCGTTGGTAACGCCCAGTATCTTAAGTTCTTAAATTATGTCAAGATGATATAGTTACAGATGAAGACATATTCCTTACCTGTGTGATGCGAAAACATCTTCCCTACCAATACCCTAACTGTGGTATCATCCTTCTTGGGGACTATAAACGACATAGAAATATGTCTCCTGTCAGCAAGACATAATTTAAAGCAAGTCGACAAAGCCCCCAAAACAGGTTCATCAATCCTCGACCTCATCACTACTCCTACCACCACTTGGATCGTCCGACCATAATATCTTACTATTGGCCCGCTCGTTACATAATTCTAGCCATTGTACTATAATATTCCGTAAAATTATTCTGTTATGCCTAAGATGGTTTACTGCAGATGATATTACAATTTTAAGACCATTCTATTTATTTTGGGAAGAACATGAGCACCACTAGCATGGTTATAAAGTCAAATGTTGTCGTATAAAATTAAGACCATCACCACAGTCTGTAAATGACAAAATTAATAAGTTGACCGACCCAACTCAAAAAACTTGTTAATCACATTTTCTTCAATTACGTGGCAGCGTAATCCATGAGAACGAAAGTTTAAATCTATTTAATTTTAAAGAAACAGAAAGAATTGAATGTGCCCTTTGGCCAAGTTTGTATCCACTTACGAAATGGTGTGAAAGTGCGATTTCCAATAACAATTGCAATCTAGCACGAAATTGTCATTCAACATCAAATTACATTCGCAAAATAATTGACTATGGTCTACACTTTGAGTTATTTCAGTATGACAGATGGCTGTTTAAAACTGCAAATCGAGCAATTAACACTACCCAGTTACTAAAATGCTCACCAACACAGTCTTTGAACATGAAATCCTTTTCACCAACGTTTTGGCAATGGCAACATTGCTTTGTCTTAGACGCCGTAGATCAATATGGTCTCCCAGATGTATTTATAATATTAACCCATATGAATGGTCATTCCTGTTTCCGTCATGGATAGAAAGAATTAGACAGCAAACAGGAAAAGGACCAACTAAGTTAGCAGGTCACAAAACTTCTTACATTGTCAATATATTAATCCAAATTGTCAGAGGCTATTTATGCAGATCAAATAGCCAAAAATGGTCGAATCATGTTTTTAATTATAGTGGTAATGCTAAACAAAAAATATTAAGACCTTTTTTATCGTTGCAAGTTTCAGGAAAGGGGAACCATACACCTTCATTTGCCTGTGTGGTTAAAGGATTTTAGCAAGATGCAACATTGTTTAATAAGCAGAGATTTTCCAAATGACAACCCTGATTTATGCTATCTTATAAAAAAATATAAGCTATCAGATAAACCTACCTGCTTCTTTTTTAAATCTGCAAGAAGCAGAAACATATTTTGAATATACAAATAGCACTAGCATTTTACTTTGTAAACATTCAGCTGAGGCATTTGCTCTTAATTTAAAAGCTTACATTTCAACTGTTTTACCAATGTTAAAATGTTTGATGGACTTTCAAATTACCGATGGCAGAGCAATGCTATTAAAATATGTAACATGTTACGAAGTGGCAAGATGGCATAAGCACTGAAGCTTTATATGCATACAATATTTCTGGCAGCCAGGCAGCAGTATGCTATGTAACGGAAATTAAACCAGCAGAGTCGGAAATGTGGCTTAGTCTTTCCTCTATCAAATTATCCTGGTTGTGCAATTTTATAAAGAGATACACAATACCTTTTCCTGCATATATAGACACACTTGTTGGTTTAAAAACAGTTTCTTTTTTATAAAGGAATACATTTTCCGACACATTTTAATGCATGTTCCCCATCAAAGTATTTCAGATTTGAAACATCCTAACCATGAAAATGTACCAAATGACTTGCATGTGGTATGCAGCAGCTACGCATCATCTGCCAGAGTTTTGGCAAAACACCGAAAATATTAATTTGTATTTACTTAGTAAAGAAGAGTATATAACAACTGCTTTGTCATACATTAATACATTGTCAGACGCCTTTTATATGTGGCAAACATGCATAATTCCACTAACATGGTTAAACTTTGATTTGCAAAATGAAACTACGACTATTTTGTTAGATACAAATCAGCTGTCTGTTCAAAACCATGTATTGAGATCGACCAAACAACACAAGGAACACTTTTCGTCCTTTGCACCAAGTGAATACCTTGACACCGATGCTAGTTTGTTTCAGGCTCGGACGCTGATGACGAATTTTCGCCAATGGATGCTTCTCATCCTTCTCCCGTCTTTCGTCGTTGTCATGGTTCTCTGCCAAATACATGGAGCAAACCGATTATAGTTACTGGTGGTGGTGGCTGTGGTAAGTCATACACTATTCGCTCAATTGTGAATGAGTATTTAAATACTTGAGTATTGAACATTTTGAAATACGACCTAAAAATTATAGACAAATTATCAATCATTCCTGAGACTATATTCCAACATATTTTGAAAACATTAAATCTACTTTTATTTAGACTTGTGCTTTGTGGAGATTGCGCTCAACAACAACCGTTTTCAAAACATAATGTAAGAATCATGCGACTTCCAAGTCCATTTACTAATAAGCATTTTATTTCCACAACCTATCGATATAATTTACTGGATCAACATCTCGTTGGTAACGCCCAGTATCTTAAGTTCTTAAATTATGTCAAGATGATATAGTTACAGATGAAGACATATTCCTTACCTGTGTGATGCGAAAACATCTTCCCTACCAATACCCTAACTGTGGTATCATCCTTCTTGGGGACTATAAACGACATAGAAATATGTCTCCTGTCAGCAAGACATAATTTAAAGCAAGTCGACAAAGCCCCCAAAACAGGTTCATCAATCCTCGACCTCATCACTACTCCTACCACCACTTGGATCGTCCGACCATAATATCTTACTATTGGCCCGCTCGTTACATAATTCTAGCCATTGTACTATAATATTCCGTAAAATTATTCTGTTATGCCTAAGATGGTTTACTGCAGATGATATTACAATTTTAAGACCATTCTATTTATTTTGGGAAGAACATGAGCACCACTAGCATGGTTATAAAGTCAAATGTTGTCGTATAAAATTAAGACCATCACCACAGTCTGTAAATGACAAAATTAATAAGTTGACCGACCCAACTCAAAAAACTTGTTAATCACATTTTCTTCAATTACGTGGCAGCGTAATCCATGAGAACGAAAGTTTAAATCTATTTAATTTTAAAGAAACAGAAAGAATTGAATGTGCCCTTTGGCCAAGTTTGTATCCACTTACGAAATGGTGTGAAAGTGCGATTTCCAATAACAATTGCAACCTAGCACGAAATTGTCATTCAACATCAAATTACATTCGCAAAATAATTGACTATGGTCTACACTTTGAGTTATTTCAGTATGACAGATGGCTGTTTAAAACTGCAAGTGGAGCAATTAACACTACCCAGTTACTAAAATCCTCACCAACACAGTCTTTGGACATGAAATCCTTTTCACCAACATTTTGGCAATGGCAACATTGCTTTGTCTTAGACACCGTAGATCAATATGGTCTCCCAGATGTATTTATAACATTAAGCCCATATGAATGGTCATTCCTGTTTCCGTCATGGATAGAAAGAATTAGACAGCAAACAGGAAAAGGACCAACTAAGTTAGCAGGTCACAAAACTTCTTACATTGTCAATATATTAATCCAAATTGTCAGAGGCTATTTATGCAGATCAAATAGCCAAAAATGGTCGAATCATGTTTTTAATTATAGTGGTAATGCTAAACAAAAAATATTAAGACCTTTTTTATCGTTGCAAGTTTCAGGAAAGGGGAACCATACACCTTCATTTGCCTGTGTGGTTAAAGGATTTTAGCAAGATGCAACATTGTTTAATAAGCAGAGATTTTCCAAATGACAACCCTGATTTATGCTATCTTATAAAAAAATATAAGCTATCAGATAAACCTACCTGCTTCTTTTTTAAATCTGCAAGAAGCAGAAACATATTTTGAATATACAAATAGCACTAGCATTTTACTTTGTAAACATTCAGCTGAGGCATTTGCTCTTAATTTAAAAGCTTACATTTCAACTGTTTTACCAATGTTAAAATGTTTGATGGACTTTCAAATTACCGATGGCAGAGCAATGCTATTAAAATATGTAACATGTTACGAAGTGGCAAGATGGCATAAGCACTGAAGCTTTATATGCATACAATATTTCTGGCAGCCAGGCAGCAGTATGCTATGTAACGGAAATTAAACCAGCAGAGTCGGAAATGTGGCTTAGTCTTTCCTCTATCAAATTATCCTGGTTGTGCAATTTTATAAAGAGATACACAATACCTTTTCCTGCATATATAGACACACTTGTTGGTTTAAAAACAGTTTCTTTTTTATAAAGGAATACATTTTCCGACACATTTTAATGCATGTTCCCCATCAAAGTATTTCAGATTTGAAACATCC